GCATCATAATGCAGAAACTGCATTGGCCTCTAACTCTCTAAATCAGTTGCGATTTTAGCATGTAAATCTTGGTGGGGCAAACCAAAAAAACGGTGCCCACAAACTGTTAGGGCCTAAAGCTGTCCCAACAGCAGAGTCACAACACCAGTCCCAACACCTTACCACTGCTACACCTGGCTATAAGTGGAGCCTTGACTGGCAGCGAAACAGTTAATTCAGCCTCATTTACTGCCTTTAAAAAAAAACAGCTGATATGGCTGACTTGCTTAAACAAATGTGGTTTCTACTGACAATTGAGATGTACAAACTATGGTATAATGGGCCGACAAGCGGATAAGAGGCAATCCGTAATTTCGATTAAGACATTAATGAGCGAGCTAGAACGGACGTAGTCAATATAACTATTTGTTCAGCACTTTTGAAATGTACAGCGACAGAATTCAGAACACGGGCCACTAGTGTTCTCCCTGTACACCAAATTAGAACCGTAGCATAAATAAAGGGGGCATATAAGCAGACAATGAAAGCTCTTACAATATTCGATGATTACATTTCTCTAAAACAGGTTATAGGCTACATGTGCACCACCAAGTCAGAACAGTAGAATCAATTACGAGGGGGAAATAGACACAATTATTAGGGTGAGGCACATGGGCTAATAACAGCTTACTACACAACATACACTTAGTATTACTTTCTTAGCTACAGTATACATATCTCCCTGGCATATTACATAATTTATGCAGCAGCATACAATACATTTTTGGACTCACCTTGTCGTGCTGTGCTCACTTGAACAGGAAGGTGGCGCAGCGGTCCTTCGTGGGCAAATTTTGTCATCAAACTTTGTCATCAAAGTCTGCCATTCTCTGGATTTATGGTGTTTTCAAGACAACTGGGAACTCTGAAAAAAAAAGGTTGAATCATGATGATGTCAGTGATCTTCAGGTCGTAGATCTAGAAAGAGACCCAAGTTCCCAACTTACAATTCCGAGTTGGATGACCGTTCAAAACTTATTTTCCCAGTCGGAGCTCGTTTTTTTCCCAGCGTTCCCAGTTGCCTTGAACTCACTGAAGTCAGATTTACCAGTTCCGAGTTAACATTTGTTTTGAGCGCGGCATAAATCATGCTGGATTGACAGCATGGCCAATGTTGAATGTTTATCATTTTAAGCTTGGAAAAGAGACCCTTAAACACAGACTTGAAACTACACACCCACTCCACTGAATAGCAGGCTAGTGATTGCTTTGCAATGCTTGCAGTTAGCCACTGATTCCTTCCAAACCACTCATTGTTGAATTTGTGATTTCCAACTTGTTGTGTAATGTTTATGTCCAATGGCCGATGAGCACAGATATGTTTTATCTAAAATGTCTCTTCATTATTTCTCTTCATATGACAAGGATTAAAAAGGATTTGCCAGTAGATTTTCGACTTGATTCATGATGATGACTGCTAGCTAATATTTTGAAAGTATGATGTTGACATGATCAGTCCAATCAAAGCAACTGTAGATATAAAGTGATTTGACGTCATATTATTTGTGGCAAATGACCTTGAGCCTTCTTGGATGGGCACTTCTAATGTAACTCGATGGCAGCACCCAAGCGGCTTGAATTTTCGAGCTCTACCCTTAGATTTGGCAGTGATGTAGTGTCCCCATTAGTGACAGAACACTGAGCCAATCACGGCGCAACTAGAGAACATTCCCAACCCCTAGGCTCCATATTTTCTGCTGGCTGCCCCACCACCACAGAAAGCACTGAGCTAGGCTGACCCACCTGCCCTGAATGACGGGTCGCCACTGCTTTAAATACATGGCTCTGGATGTGGTTTGCATGATACTTAAAATACCTATCCAACATCCAGTGTTCAAAACAACTGGGAACTCGGAAATATCTGAATACAGTGCTTTCAAGACAACTGGGAACTCGGAAAAAAACGTGCTCTTACTGGGAAAAATCGTTTTAAACGGTCATCCAACTCGGAATTCCAAGTTGGGAACTCGGCCTCTCTCTAGAGCTCCGACCTGAAGGTCACTGACGTCATGATTTTACCTCGTTTTTTCAGAGTTCCCAGTTGTCTTGAAAGCACCATAAGCGCTGGAACGCGTTATCAATAAACGTCACAATATGGTGCACAGCATTCGATTTGGCTTCTGAGGGGCAAGGAGAGCCCCAGCTCCACTAAAACCATTGACAACTACGTGCCGTTTTCAAGGGATCATTAAATAAATGTTATACTATAGCCACACCCAGTGGCGGCTCCTGAAAAAATTCTCAGGAGGGGCAATTTTTCTGATGATTTAGGTGACCTACACACATTTTAAAAAAGATATGTCCAGCAACAACATGAAGACAGGGGCAGCATATAAGTCAATACCAGAAGCATTTATTGACTGATCTGGGGAGATGGATTCCAGTTTCTGTGACAGATTATAAATAATCTCTGATGCCTTTGTTATATTAGCTTTTGGTTGAATGTACTGTCGTAGTAAATATATAATGTTATAGCTTGGTCTGACTAAAATCTTGTGCATGACCCATTTTGTGTTGGGCGTTTGTTTTCAATCAATGCTGTTCCTATCCTATAACAATGGACAAAAGAGTCCTATCTTGTCAGCCTTGTCAGCAGGTGGCCAAGGACAACACCCACGCCATAGGTCTCTCAGTTCTTCCAACTCACGAGTTCTTGCTCTGAGGACACACACACACACACACACACACACACACACACACACACACACACACACACACACACACACACACATCATCACTGATAACACACACACACACACACATCATCACTGTTAAACACACACACACACACACAAAAATCCCCTATCTTTAGGCTGAACATTTGAAGACAGAGAACCCGACTCAGAGCCAATGCAACAGTGGAGGGGACCTCGCCCAACTCATCAGGACCAATCAGAAGATCAGAACTACTAGATTCAACCTACATCATTTATTGTATAAAATGTCTGCACAATGTTTTCGGGGCTCTCTTCAGATAGCTCCCTAAGAGTTTGACGAACGAGTCCGTGCACGCGATTCCAGATATCTTTACCTCTGAATAAACTGCCTTTATTATACCATATCCACCCTGTCCAAAGTCTCTACTTGGTCTCAGTTCTCCAGTAAACTTGTGATTATCAACAGTACACAACGGTAACAAACAATTGGGGGAACTCACGGGGCAGATAGTAAGGTCGCAGTGACACAGAAAGCAGTTCAATGTCGGGGTACAGAGTCGCTCTCTTACCAGGATCGATCTGTGACTGTCAGATCGCGGTCCGCTCTGACCAGGGTGAAGCCGGCCGGCTCCACTTCTCCGGGACTCTGTCATCCAGCCAAGTCTCCCAGCTGTATTGGATTCCGCTGCCAGCAGCGTTTTCATTATTTAGTCCGTTCGTAGCGGGTATGTACACGATCAACAAGATCAGTCCAAAACCCACCACTGGAAATCCATGGTTGGCAGAATGTTTGTAAACTAAGTGTACAAATTAAAAACATAAAATAACGCCACACTGCAGGTCGCAACAGAGACGCTGCTAGCCGCTATTTTCTTAGTTACGTTCATGGTTACGTCACGTATGACGAAAGCGCGTAAGTGCAAGCCCACAGAAGCCCATAGAGATTGTATTGAAAGCTTTGAAATTTGAAAAAAATAGATTTTACATGACAGGCTATGAGAGACTTCTGGGCGATTTTCAACTTGACTGAAATCGCCCCAAAAACGGGCGGGGCCATTTGAAGCACGACTTTAGCCTGATTTGACATTTAGTGGCAGTCAGATCAGATTACAACACTGATAACTACTGTTGCCGTGATATAATTGATTAGAAAAAAAATCCCTTCCTTTTCCCGTTTGGCAGTGCGTCGCCCATATCGCCCTATTGAACAGGCCGTCCCTGGCCACACCAGTCGCTATGGGTGGGCCATAGGGGGCCGGGCCCGCCCCCAAAAATGCTTGTGCCTCTCCCCCACTTGAGGGAATTTATTATTAAATATACGTACTGTAGGCTAATAATAATTGTGCCCTGCCCTCCCATGCATTTCCTATGCCCCCCTTAAGACGGAGGTCTGGCGACGGGTCTGACTATAGCTAACTATTTGGTTTTAATATCATCGCCTCTTCAAGTCATTACTACACATTTCCGATTATTCCACATTTAGCTCTATTATCAGAGTTATACAGCAAGTAGCTGCATGCTTTTCATGATCAGCAAACATCAACTGATCATGTATTTTCAGATACGTGAGGGTAGCCTATCCATTTGGCATGTAGTAGCTAGCTAGCTTAGCAAACGTGTAAATTACCTTACTTCATCATAGATTATGCTTTTGGAAAGAGCTTGACATCGGCAAGTCCTCGTCCTGGTAAAGTTGTCAGTCGGTCGGACTACTGTCATCACCACTATAGATGGCCATCAAATCAAACAATATCTGGATATAGCCATTTAGTTTATCGCCTGAAACTTCGCTTGTGTATAGTTCAGTTTTATTGTATATCCATCAAATATCAAATTAATGGTGGCCAATATTGAGAAATATCGTGAGGCTACCCTCACCTGAAATGAATGTTTACTGATTATGAAACGCATGTAGTTACTTGATGTATGACTCTGATGATGTATGGAGAAGAAGAAAAAAAATATGTTCCCTAACTGTCAGTCGCTCTGGATAAGAACCCGCGGTCTCCTTACCAACCAGCAGGCAAATCGAATGCTCCGCTCTGCACTGTGACTTTTTATTGACGACGACCTATGTTTACAAATACCACTCCTCCTATCATCTTGCGCGTAGCCGTCTGTGGGCTTTTTCAAATATTCGAACCAATGGGAGGAGCGTTACCCCGGCAATTTCGAACAAGACCACGAACTCGGTTTGTATATGTAGCTAGCTAATAGCGAACCGTAGCTTTTATTCCACTAAAATAGGGAGTAATTTACACTAATAGAACGTTTCTCAAGTGACTAGATTTCGTAGAAACAGCAATGGAGGCGGAAGAAATTGTGACTAAAATCAACAGAAAAGGTAAGGTGGACCGTTCGCTAACTAGCTAGCAATGTTAGCTAGCTAACTAACTGAACGTTATCTATATAAATAGTAACGTCAACTACGCCATATCAACTGTATTTGCTTAATTAGCTTGTTATCATGCCTCGTTAACTTGCAAGCAGCTAGCTAACGTTATAGTTTCGTTAGTTATGATGCCATTATATAGTATTTGGTTATGTAAGCTAGCAAACTACTTAACGTTAAAATTAAATGTTATTTGTCACATGCGCCGAATTCAACAGGTGTAACTTAGACCTAACCGTGAAATCCTTACTTACAAACCCTTAACCAACAATGCAGTTAAAGAAATAGTTAAGAAAATATTTACTAAATAAACTAAATGTATTTTCACCGCTTAATTTGTTGTAGAAATGTTTTTTTAAAAAGTTTTTTTGCCTTCAATCTTCAAAAGCTGTGGATTTTTGTCCATCTTCCCCTGATTCAGAATATATAATGTTTATAGTCATGACATACTTTGTGTAAGAGCTATTGGAGATTGAATGTTTAAAAACATTAAGTAATATTACAATAAAAATTGATTTTTGACCATTGACGTTGCTTCTTTCTTTCACAGAATTGCGCAAGCAGAAGTTGATGGAGTACTTAGCAGCCAAGGGAAGATTGAAGCCCCCCAACCCAAAGTAAGAAATCAGCCTGGCTTGACAGCTACAGTATCTATGGCCAGTATGAAATAACTAACTGGCATTAATGGCAATATTTCAGTTTGACATGACTTATCCATAGACTTGTGTAAATAATGTCTTATCACACATTACGTATTTCAGACCTTATCTTCGAGATGACTTTAAAGCAAAGAGTACCAGCATGTCTACAGTGAAGGATGATGTAAGTAATCCTCCCTTTTCTCTCCTCCTTGACACTCACTCTCTCGAAGCAAGCTTGGCAGTTTGCACACTATCAATTATAATTAACTGACATGTTGAGAAGTAGGCCCACTGTTGATGCAAAGCAGGAAAGTTCCTAAGTTAGTTAGCTATATTAACTGATGTTGTTTTGTTATTACAATTATAAAAATAGTCGCACACTATATATAAGCTCCCAGTAATTTATTGGGTAAACCACCAACGTTTCGACATCACTGTGCCGCCTTCAAGGTACATTTACATTTAAGTCATTTAGCAGACGCTCTTATCCAGAGCGACTTACAAATTGGTGCATTCAACTTAGGATAGCCAGTGGGACAACCACCACTGGGGGGGGGTGTAGAAGGATTACTGTTATACTATTCCAGGTATTCCTTAAAGAGGTAGGGTTTCAAGTGTCTCCGGAAGGTGGTCAGTGACAAGGTGGTGGGTGGGGGGGAATACAGAAGATAGCCCTATTTGGTAAAAGACCAAGTCCATATTATGGCAAGAACAGCTCAAATAAGCAAAGAGAAACAGTCCATCATTACTTTTAAGACATGAAGGTCAGTCAATACGGAACATTTCAAGAACTTACTAAGTTTCTTCAATATCATGAATGCGTGAATCAGGTTATGTAGACAATTAGTGCAACCAATGACAATAGTGAGGGGTGTGTCATAGTAACCTGGTTCTATATCGTGGAGCTCCACCCCATAGGGGAGCTCTGCTCCTAGTGGTTTACCCTCTGCCCTAAGGCAGCAACAGCCTGAAGCAAAATTATGCACACACCTGCAGCCAATGGGAGCACAGGTGTCCCTATAAGAGGGGACGCTTCCCCTCAATCAGCCTCCCATTATCTTCAGCGACTGGACGACTAGACTGAAGAAGCCAAGAAGTAAGAAGACTCAGGAAGAAATCGCCGTCGATGAGCCAGCCATCGACGTCTTCTAAAATGAGCACGCCAGGAAATTTTCCACCCCCAAAAGCCCTTTTCAGGGCTCAGTGCCGATGCTCCTCCATGGCATCTGCGGACCCCCACGACCTTTGTTTCGTGTGTTTGGGGCCGCAGCATGCCAAGGAAGGGACCGGCAATCCCCCTAATTGCGCCTCCTGCGCCCTACTTCCTATGAAGGAGAGGAAGCAGCGTTGGGCGTTTTTTAGGGAGGATATCCCCCTAGAGGATGTACTGTCTCTTCTCGCCTCTGCTTCAGAGGCGTCGACGGACAGTGCTGACTTAGGGGAGGACAAGGAGAGAGACGCAGAGTTGGATGTTCCAATGGAACAATCCGACCCTCTGGCGCCAACCTTCAAGACCCCCTTCCCTATGGGGAGTGTGAGATCTGAAGGCTCCTTGTGCGATGACGACACAGGCTCTGTTACGTCAGCAGCCCTGTCCTTCGCAGCGGCCTCTCTGCGTTCGGACTTCCCCGAACTCATTGAGAGAGCCGCCAACCGACTAGAGATAGCGCTGCCCCCTGCTCCCCCCCCCGTGGAGGTCGACATGATGGAGGGCGGCCCCTACTCTAGACAGAGGAAGGCAGCTGAGCCGATGGCTCCTGCTATGCCTTCCCTCGGGAAATATGTCGAGGGCTCGTGGGATACACCCCTGGCGGCGCGTTCGCCGGCCAAGGTGTACACCCCATTCACGAGAGTGGCTGGACGTGAGTGGGCTGCTAAGGGAATCCCTAGGCTCGAGAGCGCCATGGCAGCGTATCTAGTGCCGGGTTCGAGTCCCTGGGCGGCCTCCAAGAAAGCCACCTTGCCAGCACAAAAAGACAGACTCACAGCACAGCTGGCTGAGAAGTCTTTTACGCTGGGAGCCCAGGCTGTGTCAGCGGCTAACAACATTGCCCTCCTCGCGGCCTCCCTATCCCGTCTAACAACGGGTAGGTCTGAGTTGACCAGCGAGGAGATTGAAGAGGCGTCCAGGATTTCTGGCGCTATTCTTCATTTGACACAGGCGTCAGCGATATGCGCAGGCCGGTCCATGGCCACCTCGGTGGTCATGGAACGTCACCTCTGGCTGTCAATGACAGCCATGAAGGAGACGGACAGAGCCTCGCTACTAAACGCTCCCGTCTCTAGCGAGGGCCTCTTTGGGGTCGCCGTTAAGGAGGCGACGGAACGCTTTGGTAAGCTGGACGAGGAGAGAAAGCACCTGGCTAAACACCTGCCATTGGCAGGCAAGTTTAGCAGGGCCTCAACTAACCCGTCAACCTCCAACGCCCCCAGTAGAACTACAGGGAGGCGACGGGCCAGGCGACAGGCGCCTACCACCGACAGCAGGCGAGCGGGCTCGGCCCCTCCAGCGACGACGGTGGTGGCGACGATTCCGCCGGCGAGAGAGGTCGTCACAAAACCGTCCTGGCAACACCAGAAGGTCAGCCAGAAACGACGGCGTCAATGACGGGACGAGGGGGAGAGGACGGATGACGGCTCGGCGCAAGACGCGACAGAGCCCACTGTTCCCCCCCACCCTACTGTTCAGGGCATGGAGGGAAATGTTTATTGTTGTTGTGTGAATAAAGAGCTGGCTCTCACTGACATTGTCACAAAAGGGCCTGTCTTCCATGACACATTGCAGAGTACTTCACGTCCTATGAATTTCTCTCACCATCTTGAGTGTAGCTTAACCCACCAAGGGTGCGTAGTTGAATACACTCAGGAGAGGAAGGAGAAAAAGGTAGCAAGGCGTAGCCTTAGCTCACCTAATAAATATATTTTACTACAGACTCCTAGGAGCTCTGTAGTAAAGGTCTCACATAGCAGGCAGCTGTCTCAGTCTAAATATGACATGAAGACGCAGCCGCTAACTGGGAATGACGCCTTGCTTCAGGCTAACGCCTCAGCCAGCGCAGTTCAGACCCGTGCGACGTTCACGGAGGGCCGGAATACTAGAGTTACAGGTGTAACCAATGTATGGGCGCCCCCGGTTAATTCAGAACGTAACAATGCCCACTATGAGTGCAGCTCACCACACCTAGAGTGTGCTGTTGAGCAGCCTCATGAGACCAGTAAAAAAGAGGTATTGTGGCGCCACCTTGTGGTACCAGTTAGAGACCACACTTTCCAGACTCTGTTGAGTACTGCAGTGGACGGATCTCATGGCAAGCAACAGTCTCAGTCAGACAATGACATGATGACGCAATTGCTATCCGGGGAGGGCGCTCTGTCTCAGGTTAATACCTCAGTCAGTGCAGCTCAAAACCGTGCTGCGTTCACGGAGGGCCGGAATACTAGAGTTACAGACGTAACTGACGTATCAAGGCCTCCGATTCTCTCAGAACGAGCTGATGTTTCCTCTCCCTTTCGAGGGGGGCCCGCCTTGGGCTATTCCACCAACCCAGTGCTGGGGAATAGCGGCGGCGAGGGCCATAGAGGAATACAGGTCCTTCCTACTGGATGCACCACAGCTTCGTGCGCGCCCGCTTTCTCTGCATTGCTGGCAGTGGCAACGAAGCTGTACCCTCTCACGCTGGCTAGAACAGACGTTGCAGAAGGGTTATGCCCTCCAATTCCATCGAACCCCACCCCCGTTCAGGGGAGTGGTGGAGACGGTGATGAAAACGCCAGACAAAGTGGCCGCTCTGATGTCAGAGATTACGGAACTTTTGGCGAAGGAGGCGGTCACAGTAGTTCCCCGGGAGCAAAGGAACAAAGGGCTATATTCGCCTTATTTCCTAGTGCCCAAAAAGACGGGGGGAGTGAGGCCGATTTTGGATTCACGCACTCTCAACGAGAGCATAACCAAACGACCCTTCCGAATGCTGACGACAAAACGTCTACTGGAATGTGTCCAGAAAGGAGACTTTTGTACAAGCATAGACCTAAAGGACGCGTACTTCCATGTGCCGATACAATCGCGTCACAGGAAGTTTCTGCGGTTCGCCTTTCAAGGGGTGGCGTACGAGTTCACGAGGATGCCATTCGGGTACGCCCTGGCACCTCGAACGTTTTCCAAATGTGTGGAGGCGGCATTGGAGCCGCTGCGTCGTCAAGGGATAAGGCTATTAGCCTACCTAGACGACCTGCTGGTTCTCGCCCCGTCAGCAGAGCTGGCGTTCACTCACACAACACAGACAGTGATTCATCTCACGCGTCTGGGGTTTGCTGTGAATTGGAAAAAGAGCGCACCCTGGCCCAGTCATCAGATTGTCTACCTGGGGCTACAGCTAGACACTGTAATGATGAGGGCTCGAATTTCGGACCCTCGAAGGGTAGCATTGTTGCTAGCCCTGAGGAAGTGTCGTCCGAATCACACAGTGACGGCGCTGTCGATCATGTCACTTTTGGGTCTCATGTCGTCAGCCCACTCTGTGGTCCCGCTGGGACTTCTGCACATGCGCAGAATACAGCGATGGTTAGCCCAACTAAGACTAGACCCAGTGCGTCAACGTCATCGGTTGGTGGTGGTTCCTCTCTCGCTAAGAGCAGACCTGGACTATTGGAGGAATCCGAGCGTTCTCACGCACGGAGTCCCGATGGGCAAGGTGTCATCCTACATTCCAGTATTTACAGATGCTTCACTGACTGGATGGGGAGGGACATGTCAGACTCAAGCGATAGGAGGTGCATGGCCTCAATCAGGTCGTCACATAAACCTCTTGGAGTTGGAAACGGTTCGACTGGTTCTGACCCACTTCGCGCCTACCCTTCGGGGTCGCGATGTGCTGGTCTGGTCAGACAACCGGACCACAGTAGCTCACATAAATCGCCAGGGGGGGGTCAGGTCACCTGCCCTCCACAGGGCGGCAGAGGAATTGTGGTTGTGGGCTCACAAGCACCTTCGCTCGTTGAGAGCAGCACACATTCCGGGCTACTTGAACGTAGGAGCAGACCTCATGTCAAGAGGGGGTCCTCGAGACGACGAGTGGTGTCTGCATCCGGACATTGTTCTCCAAATTTGGGAACAGTTCGGGAGAGCCGTTCGCGTCACGCGTGAACGCGCAATGTCCCCTATGGTTTTCTCTGAGGGAACAGGACGAGCCACCACTGGGAAGAGACGCATTCGCGCACTACCCATGGCCGAAAGTTCTCCTGTATGCATTCCCTCCGCTGTCTTGCATTCTCCCACTGCTAGCCAGGGTGAGGTCAGAGGGGCTGTCAGTGATACTGGCTCCGTGGTTTGCGGAGATGAGTCAGATGTTGATTGCGCCACCTTGGCCAATTCCACATCGACGGGACGCGTTGACCCAGGCGGGAGGCTCGATAGGGCAGTGGCCCATAATCGGCCAACCACTGAAGGCTTGGTTCCTGAATGGGACAGGTTGAGGCGCCGTGGGTTATCTGATGCAGTGATCAGAACCATACAAGGTGCACGAGCCGGTTCCACTTCTAGGATGTATACCAGCAGATGGAACGTTTTTTCACGATGGTGTGACACACAAGGTGTGGACCCCATGAACTGTCAGGTTGAGAGTGTGCTCTCTTTTCTGCAGTTTATGTTTGATAAGCAGAAATCGCCCTCCACCATTAAAGTGTTTGCAGCGGCAATTTCAGCTGGTCATGAGGGGTTTGGCGGAACGAACGTGTTCAGCCATCCTTTAGTGAAACGTTTCTTATTGGGAACGCGGCGGCTTAGGCCAATGCCTAGAGCCACGCTGCCCCAGTGGGATTTAGCCTTGGTACTCGAAGCGCTATGTAAGTCGCCGTTCGAGCCATTGAATCAAATACCCCTCAAGATGCTGTATATCAAGACGCCGCTGTTGCTCGCCTTGACTACCGCTAAGCGTGTCAGTGATTTGTGTGCCCTGTCGACGAGACCCGACTGCCTTGCCATTAATGGCGATCTGAACAGAGCGGTGTTACGTCCTAACCCGGCGTTTGTGCCGAAGGTTATTAACAGTGCATATAGATCACAGACCGTGGAGTTGTGGGCTTTTTCTCCCCCTCCTCATGGGGAGAGGAGTGAGGAAAAGCTTCATTGTCTGTGCCCAGTGCGCGCTTTGGCGTGTTACGTTGAGCGCACAGCAGCGATTAGGTCATCGCCTCAGCTGTTTGTGTGTCACGGTGCGGCTGCATTAGGTAGACCACTTTCAAAACAGCGATTGTCTCATTGGCTTTGTGAAGGTATTGAGACCGCTTACGAGGCAGCGGGGCGACAACTGCCTCAGTGTATCAGAGCTCACTCCACTCGTGGAGTAGCAGCTTCTACTGCCCTCTTCAGAGGAACAGGGGTAGAGGATATTTGTAGAGCAGCGTCATGGTCGACACCGTCTCCATTTATCAGTTTCTATCTATTAGATATGTCTTCTAACTCTGGCTCGATCTGTACTCAGCGTGGCTGAAGGGAGATCTTGAGCAAGAAAGAGAGGAAAAAAAGCAGGACTGTGGACATGGGTGTCCATCAGGTCCGCTTTGGTCAGGAAGACATATTCTGTTTCTATCTATGAGATATGCCTTCTAACTCTTTGGCTCGATCTGTACTCAGCGTGGCTGAAAGGAGATCTTGAGCAAGAAAGAGAGGAAAAAAGCAGGACTGTGGACATGGGTGTTCATCAGGTCCGCTTTGGTTAGGAAGACATATTCTGGACAGATGTTTTCTAACTCTTTGGCTCGGTCTGTACTCAGCAAAGCTGAAAGGGGATTTTGAGCCAGGAAGAGAGGATAAAGCAGGACTATGGGCAGGTTCCCATCAGGTCCGCTTTGGTTAGGAAAACATGTTTTTTGATAGATAGGCTTTCTATCTCTATGGCTCGATTGTACTCAGCATAGCTGAAGGGGAATCTTGAGCTAGAAGAGAGAAGAGCAGGACGATGGACACAGGTTTCTATCAGGTCCGCTTTGGATGGAAAGCATATCTTGTGGCATGTCTCTTGACTGACAGGGTCAGTATAGTAGAGACATGTATTGAATTGACAGAATGTGAGGTCATCTATCTGAGTGTTCAGTTTAGTATGACTTATATTTTGTTCCTGCCTACTAATCTCTGGGATTCCATTGAGTGAGTGAGGTGGTCTACTGTGTACATAATGTAGAGTGACACTTGGTGTCATTCCATTAGTGGTCGGTAGTGTTTTCACAGGATATTGAGGCACATCTATCTGCTAGTACAGATTAGTGTAGCTTCTATTCTGGTGATCTGCCCACTAGTCATTAGCATTGCCATTGAACTAGGTGGGGCGGGTCTTTAACCGATGACGCGGTATATTGTGACGCCCGGAGGGGTTTTTAGTTGCAGTACTGCGGGAATTGGTTGCGGCCATTGCTAGGCTTGACCTTTTCATTTTTTAATGGGAAGTGTTAGGCTCGGCAGGGAGTACATTTTGGAGCGCTACGCTCCGCCTTAAACCACTAGGAGCAGAGCTCCCCTATGGGGCGGAGCTCCACGATATAGAACGATTAGTTACCGGAGTGTAACTCCAGTTCTATGAGTGGAGCGGAGCCCCATAGGACTTAAGGCCCTGCCGACCCTCTCTAGTCTCACTGAAGATAATATCTCGGGAGGCTGATTGAGGGGAAGCGTCCCCTCTTATAGGGACACCTGTGCTCCCATTGGCTGCAGGTGTGTGCATAATTTTGCTTCAGGCTGTTGCTGCCTTAGGGCAGAGGGTAAACCACTAGGAGCAGAGCTCCCCTATGGGGCTCCGCTCCACTCATAGAACTGGAGTTACATTCCGGTAACTAATCGTTCAAGCATTCATGATATTACCCTGAAGAAGGCACAGTGATGCTGATACGTATAAGCTCCCTAAATTACTGGGAGCTTATACACTGAGTGTACAAAACCTTCCTAATATTGAGTTGCACACCGTTTTGCCCTCAGAACAGCCTCAATTCGTTGGGGCATGGGCTCTACAAGGTGTCGAAAGTGTTCCACAGGGATACTGGCCCATGTTGACTTCCCACAGTTATGTCAAGTTGGCTGGATGTCCTTTGGGTGGTGGACCATTCTTGATACACACAGGAAACTGTTAAATGTGAAAAACCCAGCAGCGTTGCAGTTCTTGACAAACTCAAACTGTTGCGCCTGGCACCTACTACCATACCCTGTTCAAAGGCACGTAATTATTTTGTCTTGCCCATTCACCCTCTGAATGGCACACATACATAATCCATGTCTCAAGGCTTAAAACTCCTTCTTTAACCTGTCTTCTCCCCTTCATCTACACTGATTGAAGTGGATTTAACAGGTGACTTCAATAAGGGATCATAGCTTTCATCTGGATGCACTTAGTCAGTCTATGGCATGGAAAGAGCACGTGTTCCTAATGTTTTGTACACTCAGTGTGCAACTCTTTATTTTCATAGCCTACAGTTTACTTGCCGTTAGTCAGCACCTCTACCAACTTTTTTGTGTATGCCCCAGCTCATGCTTTTCACTTGTTATTACAGCTGGCCAATGGGAAAGAGAACCAGGCCATGGGGAAAGAGAACCAGGGTCCAGATGCCCTCAAGATGAAAAAGGAAGCTGTGAAGGTTAAACATCTGACAGTCAAAGCATTTTCCCAAATCACTGGTACCTTGCACAGTACCACCAACAAACAGTGTTTCACCACCAGCAGCAGCACTCTGCGTCCCCTGTCTGCAGTATCGATTACTACACGTCTCAAAGCGATCAAAGGTGCAATAAAGCCTTCTGCGGTTGCCCCAGGTCACCCTGCCCACCTGAAAATTGTTCCAGCCAGACCACACTCTACTGTCCCTACAAAAACATGCCCAGGCACCACCAACCATCCCAGAACCAAGCCCAACCCAGCTGTTAAAGGCAGCAATACATGCCCCAACTCCGCCAAACCACTGGCCAACACTGGTAGAACATATTCGGCCAACACAACCAGACCACAGCCAAACACTACTGGGAAACCCACCAACACACGCCCCAATACAGCCAGCACCCGCCCCAGCACATCTAGCATTGCGAGAATGAGTCTTAGTACAGCGGCTAAAACCAAGACAGGCCTCATGTGTGCTCAGGTGCAGCCTAGAAACACACACCCCAGAGCCACCATCCCTGCCCCTGCTGCAGCCCCCACCACCTCCTTTGTCCTGAACAGAGCGTGCCCAAGCACCATCCCAGTTCCAGCTGTGACTCAGAGACTAGTTACTACTCAGAGGAGAACGAATCCCGTCACTACCATGAGTAAAACTAACCAGAGGACGGGTGCCTCGGCTGTGGACAATGGGCAAAGGAGGAGCCAAGCTCTGAGCAGAATTGACTCTAAACCACTTCCAGGGAGAATCAGTAAATCAGCAGGGCTGAGGCAACCTGCCGCTGGGCCTAAACCGACCATCCAAAGCCCTACTGGTCTACCTGGATCCAAGACTGCAGCTATGAAGCCAGGGGAGAAAGGGAAAAACGCAGCCAGAGTTTCGATCCAAGTGGTTGAGCCTGTGAAGAGGGCTCCACCACAGCACAGGGCCGAGGCTAGAGGAGCAGGAGGGGCCACCACTCGGACATGTAAGCCTGACTCTCAAGCCTCCACCGGGATAACAGGGAACCGATGGCAGGCCAAGGCTCTGAGTAGGGCCATGCATGCAGCTGTGGCTAAGATGGGACAGAAAGGCAGCAGAGAGGAGAACCGAGAGACCGCGACTGACACAAACGTTCCTTCAATGTCCATAAACGTTCCTACACCAGCGTGTTGGCCTAACAGGAGCACAGTGAATGGTGTGTGGATCCCCCAGACGGTTCCTCGCTCTGCCAGAGAGTTCAGCCACAGCCAGGTGGAGGTGGGGTGGGCGGCTGGTGTTGGCCTGAAGACACCCAGAGACCAGGCCAGGATCATGCCACAGACAGAGGGCAGGAAGAATATGACTGCAGCTCAGGAGGAAAGGATGTGAGTTGGTTTAGTTATTTTATTGTATATTAGATAAGAAGTAGAGAGGATCTATTCTACACTGAACAAAAATATAAACGCAACATGTAAAGTGTTGGTCCCATGTTTCATGAGCTGAAATAAAATATCCCAGAAATTTTCCATATGCACAAAAAGCTTATTTCTCTCATTTTGTGCATACATTTGTTTACCTCCCTATTAGTGAGCATTTCTCCTTTGCCAAGATAATCCATCCACCTGACAGGTGTGGCATATCAAGAAGCTGATTAAACGGCATGCTCATCACTAGGGCTGTCCCCGACTACAGAAAATCTTGGTCGACCGAAAGTTGTCTGTTCTTTCGACCAATCAATTGATTTAAATGTTTAAACGTGTGTTTTTCCATATATACACACACCCTATGCGTTTTAAAATCAACTATATGCATTAAGCTTGTCTGATGCTTTAAGCTTACTGTTTGATGAAATAAACACAAATTACTCAATAATGAGCTAGATAACCAGAAGGAAAAAAAAGTACGGTAACCATTCTCCTCCCGCTCCTGCTGGCTTTCGCAGATTCTGTCATTACTCTCCTGAAGTTGCCGGTAATAGCCTACAACAAGGAGTCCGCAACCTTTCTCATGTGAAATACATATTTATCTTACCATTTCCACCGATCTGCGTGCCAGCTATAGTTTTCATATGCACATTTTCGTATAACAGGTTAATTTCATTTATAAGAACATCTAACATCTTCATATCTCAAAATCATTGTCATGTGGTTAACCAAAATACTATCCTAATCTAAATTTAAAATGTTACTTTTTGGGTTTGTAACATCTATTGCCATTGACAATGATGTAAAAATAGCCTACATAAAGCCATTGCAGCCTTCAGGTAGAAGAAATCCTGAAAATGTAAAAAATTTAAATACATTCTTTAAATCACATTGTCTACGCATGGCCTGTCTGCAACGAACTTGAAACATTGTATCAACTATTAACTTGGGTCCGGCCCAGGCTATTTTGCAAAGGATAAGAAGCAGTGCTCGTCTTGGGCAGGAGCTCACCGGAGCTGAATTTTCTACTGCTTGAATTCCTGTTACTCTTATAGAATATTAGCTCAAAAGTATTGTGGAGCTCATGCACCTAAATATAAACAGTACCAGCACCCAAAATGAGTACCGGAACCTATTTCAGTCCAGGTCAAGCACTGATGAGAAGTAATCTGGTAGGCCTATTTTATGACATTTCCACTGGGTCAGAGCATGACATTTTTCCCTTTCACTCTGAGTGGTTATCGAAAAGGAGAGAGCTGGAAAGATTTTTCAAATACATTGAGGAACTATTGTCATTCTCAACGGATGTAAAAACAGACTTCATTTGCTTGCTGTTTGAGGTGAAGAAAATATTACTTTGAGAAGCTCCACAGCTCATTAGTGGTGGTGCGTTAAGCCAATCAGAAATACTATCAGATCCCCAAATGGGCACCTTATATGCCAACATTTGCGCGCAGGCCAGATAGCCTATAGGCCTATATACTTCTATGTGTAATCAAATCTAATTTTATTTGCCACATGGGCCGAATAAAACAGGTGTAGACATTACAGTGAATTGCTTATAGTGCAAATAGTCCGGGTAGCCATGATTAGCTGTTCAGGAGTCTTATGGCTTGGGGGTAGAAGCTGTTGAGAAGCCTTTTGGACCTAGACTTGGCGCTCCAGTACCGCTTGCCGTGCGGTAGCAGAGAGAACAGTCTATGACCAGGGTGGCTTGAGTCTTTGACAATTTTTAGGGCCTTCCTCTGACACCGCCTGGTATAGAGGTCCTGGATGGCAGGAAGCTTGGCCCCAGTGATGTACTGGGCCGTACGCACTACCCTCTGTAGTGCCTTGCGGTCAGAGGCCGAGCAGTTGCCATACCAGGCGGGGATGCAACCAGTCAGGATGCTCTCGATGGTGCAGCTGTATAACTTTTTGAGGATCTGAGGACACATGCCAAATCTTTTCAGTATCCTGAGGAGGAATAGATTTTGTCGTGCCCTCTTCACGACTATCTTGGTGTGTTTGGACCATGATAGTTCGTTGGTGATGTGGACACCAAGGAACTTGAAGCTCTCAACCTGTTCCACTACAGCCCCGTCAATGAGAATGGGGGCGTGCTCAGTCCTCTTCTTTTTCCTGTAGTCCACAATCATCTCCTTTGTCTTGATCATGTTGAGGGAGAGGTTGTTATCCTGGCACCACACGGCCAGGTCTCTGACCACCTCCCTATAGGCTGTCTCATTGTTGTCGGTGATCAGTCCTACCACTGTTGTGTCGTCGGCAAACTTAATGATGGTGTTGGAGTCGTGCCTGGCCATGCAGTCATGGGTGAACAGGGAGTACAGGAGGGGACTGAGCACGCACCCCTGAGGGGCCCCCGTGTTGAGGATCAGCGTGGCAGACGTGTTGTTACCTACCCTTACCACCTGGGGGCGGCCCGTCAGGAAGTCCAGGATCCAGTTGCAGAGGGAGGTGTTTAGTCCCAGGATCCTTAGCTTAGTGATGAGCTTTGAGGGCACTATGGTGTTGTCCTTACTTATCAGGTGCGCGTCCTTACTCAACATTGACAGGAGCGCGCCAAACAAAAGACGATGACTAAATTGTGGTCGTAAATGGAATGAAATAAACCAAAACTTGTTTCTCACAAGTGTAGCATAGGTTGTGCGCTCTGCAAACAATGTGTCTACGCCGACAATGAAAACGGTAAGACTGAAATAGTAATGAATTGAATGCATTAACAGAAATTACCATAACCAAACAAACATTGTAGATTAGAAATTATAGGAATTAATGGTAAATGTACTACTGGTGATACAGTATATGTAATGGGGTTGTGATATACACTAACAATCAAACGCAAACAATTCACACAAAGTTAGGAAACAGTGAATGTGCACAAATTGGTGGGAGAGAGCGCATTCTGGAGAGAGAAGTACATTGTGCATCTGGGTGCTGCATGGTCAATGCGACGTCTGCATTGGCCATGCAGCATTCACTTCTTGGCTTGGCGAAGCAGTGCAGAGCTGTTGTCAAGGAAGTGAGTGTGTTTATACAGGATGTACCGCACCCACCTACCGTCAACCAATCATGTCAATGCGGAGCTATACAGAGCCCTCCGCATTGTTACAACATTTGGGAGGCGCATGGCAATGTGCTATGGAGCTCGATTTGGCCTCTGCATGCCTCCGGAGGATCCGTAATTGCGTCACACCCTCCATATGGTGCTCCGACCACATTTTCGGATCAAGCATAAATTGGCTTTTAGTCTAGGCCTCCGCAATGGATTAGTTTACTTATATATATATATATATATATATATATATATATATATATATATATATATATATATATATCCATTTGCTAAAAAAAAAAAAAACATGCAGTTGGAGGTGGCTTACGGTAGAGAGCTGAACATTCAATTATCTGGCAACAGCTCTGGTGGACATTCCTGCAGTCAGCATATCAATTGCACACTCCCTCAACTTGAGACAACTGTGGCATTGGTTGTGTGACAAAGCGGCACATTTTAGAGTGGCCTTTAATTGTCCCCAGCACAAGGTGCACCTGTGTAATGATCATGCTCTTTAATCAGCTTCTTGATATGCCACCTGTCAGTTGGATGGATTATCTTGGCAAAGGAGAAATGCTGACTAAAAGGGATGTAAACAAATTTGTGCCCAACATTTGAGAGAAATAAACTTTTTGTGCATATGGAACATTTCTGAGATCTTTTATTTCAGTTCATGAAACCAACACTTTTTATACAATTTAGTTTCGATTTAGAATGACCCATTTATCAAATGGGCAGGGGGAAAAAAAAGACGTCTTCTGTATGCACTCGAATAGCGAATGGAGGCCACGCGCTTTCCTGCCGGTCTGTTTTTCAGTGATGCGGGGTAGGCTACTTTGGTTTTATAACTGAGCATGTGCTTAATATGAGCAGCTGAAAGTAAATGCAGTGCATTCGGAAAGTATTCAGACCCCTTCCCTTTTTCCACATTTTGTTACGTTAAAGCCTTTTTCTAAAATGGATTAAATAAATAAAAAATCCTCATCAATCTACACACAATAACCCATAATGAAAAAGTGAAAACAGGGTTTTAGACATTTTTGCAAATTTATTACAAATAAAAACATACCTTATTTACATACGTTTTCAGACCCTTTGCTATGAGACTTGAAATTGAGCTCAGGTGCATCCTGTTTCCATTGATCATCCTTGAGATGTTTCTACAACTTGATTGGAGTCCACCTGTGGTAAATTCAATTGATTGGACATGATTTGGAAAGGCACACACCTGTTTATATAAGGTCCCACAGTTGACAGTGCATGTCAGAGCAAAAACCAAGCCATGAGGTTAAAGGAATTGTCCGTAGAGCTCAGAGTTAGGATTGTGTCAAGGCACAGATCTGGGGAAGGGTACCAAAAAAAATTCTGCAGCATTGAAGGTCCCCAAGAACACAGTGGCCTCCATCATTCTTAAATGGAATAAGTTTGGAACCACCAAGACTTTTCATAGAACTGGCCGCCCGGCCAAATTTAGCAATCTGGGGAGAAGGGCCTTGGTCAGGGAGGTGACCAAGATCCCGATGGTCACTCTGGCAAAGCTCCATAGTCCCTCTGTGGAGATGGGAGAACCTTCCAGAAGGACAACCATCTCTGCAGCTCTCCACCAATCAGGCCTTTATGGTAGAGTGGCCTGACGGAAGCCACTACTCATTAAAAGGCACATGACAGCCTGCTTGGAGTTTGGCAAAAGGCACCTCAAGGACTCTCAGATCATGAGAAACAAGATTCTCTGGTCTGATGAAACCAAGATTGAACTCTTTGGCCTGAATGCCAAGCGTCACGTCTGGAAGAAACCTGGCACCATCCCTACGGTGAAGCATGGTGGTGGCAGCATCAGGCTGTGGGGATGTTTTTCAGTGACAGGGACTGGGAGACTAGTCAGGATCTAGGGAAAGATTAACGGAGCAAAGTACAGAGAGATCCTTGATGAAAACCTGCTCCTGAGCGCTCAGATCCTCAGACAAGACAACGACCCTAAGCACACAGCCAAGAAAACGAGGGAGTGGCTTCGGGACAAGTCTCAATGTCCTTGAGAGGCCAAGCCAGAGCCCGGACTTGAACCCGATTTGAACATCTCTGGAGAGACCTGAAAATAGCTGTGCAGCGATGCTCCCCATCCAACCTGACAGAGCTTGAGATGATCTGCAGAGAAGAATGGGAGAAATTCCCCAAATACAGGTGTGCCAAGCTTGTAGCGTCATACCCAAGAAGACTTGAGGCTGTAATGGCTGCCAAAGGTGCTTCAACAAAGTACTGAGTAAAGGGTCTGAATACTTATCTAAATGTAATATTTCACTTTATTTGTTATTAATTTGCAATTTCAAAAAACATGTTTTTGCTTTGTCATTATTGGGTATTGTGTGTAGATGAGGGAAATAAACAATCAAATCAATTTTAGAATAAGGCTGTAACGTAACAACATTTGGAAAAAGTCAAGGGGTCTGAATACTTTCCGAATGCACTGTATAGTCACCAATACATCAGATAATGATAGGCTCACCATTTAGTCATTTTAACTACCATTTAATCCAATAGCAAAAAAATATAAGATACAAATTTCAAAACTGTTATTTTTGAAGTTCTGAATGGAAAGAATAGTAGATATATAAATATAATTTTCCATAGAGTATTTGACTTTAACTTGCCATGCACAATTTTTGAAAATAATTTGTGTCCTATGGCAGTTTGTAAGCATGTTGAGAAATATGTCAGTCTTACAGTTTCATAATCCTTATACACTGAGTGAAAGCATTCCCAGAAGAGTGGAAGTTGTTATAGAAGCAAAGGGGGGACCAACTCCATATTAATTCCCATTATTTTGGAATGAGATGTTCGACTAGCAGGTGTCCACATACCTTTGGTCATGTAGTGTATTTCACTAAACTGTTGACAGCCCCTCTGCGCACTTGAGAAAGGAATAAAGGAGAGAGAGAGGAGGAGATGGAAACGCATGGTGGTGAGATTCTGTGTAGCTAAAGGTAATGTCACCCAATTAATTATGAATAAATAAATAAATCCCTTTTACTAGGCTATTCAATTAAATGCAAATTCACTATAATTGTAGGCTAACTGTAAGCCACCCTGCACAATCAATGAACCAACAGCATCACCTAGGGCTATAATACGTTCTCTCCCAGACTCGTGGATAGACATTTTAAAGTGTAGCATAAGGTAACCAGTCCTTTCAGTATACATAATACAGTCCATACTCAAAGGTATAACTCAAATGTTTAAAATTTAATTTTTGAGTATAGGCTAGACCAATTATGTACCGAAGACATCTTAAATCAGTTTTGTTTTGACTCGAGTGGTGGTAATACAGTCAACGCAACAGCCCTACCTATTGGGCATGTTTGGGATGCTCTGGATCAACGTGTACGACAGCGTTTTCCAGTTCCTGCCAATATCCAGCAACTTTGCACAGCCATTGAAGAGGAGTGGGACAACATTCCACAGGCCACAATCAACAGCCTGATCAACTCTATGCGAATGAGATGTGTCGCACTGCATTAGGCAAATGGTGGTCACACCAGATACTGACTGGTTTACTGCTCCACGCCATTACAAAAAAAAAAGATATCTGTGACCAACAGATGCATATCTGTATTCCCAGTCGTGAAATCCATAGATTAGGGCCTAATTAATTAATTTCAATTGACTGATTTTCTTTTATGAACTGTAACTCAGTAAAATCTTTGAAATCGTTGCATGTTGCATTTGATCTTTTTGTTCAGTATAGATACAATATTTTTGGGATTTAGCAGACACTCTTATCCAGAGCGATTTTAGAGCCTAAACAACATTTTCAACTCTAGACTGGTTGAATAAGGCCTTGGCTTACACTTGGCTTCGATTTGGCATATACAGTGCACATAAATACTTCTGTTTTGTTTATTGAAGTAACAAAACAACATTTGTCAAGATGTTATCATTTAACTTCATTAAAATAGTGTAGCACTAGCATATGATTGTGCTGGCTCTTTTCCATATTCTTTCCATCCAGCACCTGATTAAATATAGTGTGTGGTAGACTTTGACTACAAAAATCTCCTTTACCCAAACATTTAACTGAACAACCTTATATTCCACTCTGTGTGTGTCTCCAGTAAGAAGCTCCAGGAATGGCGTGAGAACAGGGGCATCTCCTACAAGCGTCCCCCCATGCCGGTGAGGCCTCAGGCGCGGCGCACCGTGGCCCTCCCTCAGCCCTACTGGGCTGGTATGGAGGACGAGTACCTGGAGGCCAAGTCTCTGGTTGGAGCGGTGGACCGGTGCCTGGCTGACTGCATCAAACTGCTGGATGAGGTATGGAGGAGGAGGGTAGCAGACCAACTTCCAGTAACTGGGTCCATCAGTCTAACCTCTAGTCTAGACTAACTGCCCCTGTATGACGTATATAATACATGCCATTTAGCAGACGCTTTTATCTAAAATGATCTAAGACCAAACCAGCGTGCTCACGCTGTAAATGTCAACGCCTTCACGTGCATATAGTGCATCAAATTATGACGCAAGTCTGTTTTTCTTGTGTCTACATGGAGCAATGCTGGTAAAGTAACCTGATACATTGACAGAAAATAGACTGCATTATTAACTCGGAAATTGTGAAATGTGTAGTTAAAAGGTGTCTATTTCGTACTGATAACCTTAACTGCCAGTGCCAACATTGTGCTTTATGATAAAAGGCGTAGCACTAGCAATGCATGAATGCAACGACATTCTATACATTTATCAACTGGATTGTTTAAAAATCATATATCACCTTGTCAATGTCATTTTTTTGACAGTAGGCTATCACCGTTGTAGTTTACAGCCGATTTAGTATACGTTTTTCTGATCATTCCAAAGTCTGCGGTGTATGTGCATGTGTGCTGGAGGCGAGCCTATCTGACAAATAGGCTACCTATTTATAAACAATAGCCTACATGTGTTGATTTCGATCATAGGCATATAGCCTGGGTGGCTACAAATGGAAAACTTGAGGAATTAAATAGGCTACTCCGATTTCAAGCGATAATACAACTGTTTATGGCTTTTCATGACAATTACACTGGCATAGGCTACATGGCCTATGCGAATTAACGCTCGCTACTCTCGCACACAAATTTCACATTGTTGACGGACGTCTCATCTCTGTGATTTCGGCTTTAGTCATACGTGCATACATTTTTGTATTAGTGGTTCCAGGTGGAATCGCCCCCAACACAAGCTCCATGCTCTACCAAGTACCAACTGAGCCACAGAGGACTAGCCTAATTTCTCGTCTAGATCAACTGGATCACTGACTGTGACGTAGGCTGTATCATCCATATCGTGTGGTTGAATTTCCTCTGATTCATTGGAAGATAGGCCTACAATATGGTGACTACACTACAGCAGCTGAATGTAGGCCTAGATGTTCTTGCACAATGTGATTTGGGGTTCCTTGGCTGGTTGCTTTGTGTGTCGTGTGTGATTTGCCAGAAGCCATTAATCCATCCAACACAGCTATTAATCCAACACGTGGTGAAGTGATTCATGTAGCTAATATTACTTGTGGAGCCTCCCGAGTGACGCAGCGGTCTAAGGCACTGCATCGCAGTGCTGAGGCGTCAATACAGCCTCGGGTTCGATCCCAGGCTGTGTCAGAGCCGGCCGTGACCGGAGATCCATGAGGCTGCGCACAATTGGTCCAGCGTCGTCTTGTTTAGGGGAGGGGCCGGCCGGCCGGGATTCCCTTGTCTCATCGTGCTCTAGTGATTGCTTGTGGCAGGCTGGGCGCCTGCAAGCTGACTTCGGACTGTGTTTTCTCCAACACGTTGGTGCAGCTGGCTTCCGGGTTAAGCGAGCAGTGTGTCAAGAAGCAGTGCGGCTTGGCAGGGTCGTGTTTAGGAGGACGCATGGCTCTCGACCTTCGCCTCTCCCGAGTCCGTAGGTGAGTTGCAGCGATGAGACAAGACTGTAACTACCAATTGGATACCATGAAAAGGGGGTAAAAGTTAAAAAAAATAAACTAATTATATTACTTGTGGAATTATGCTGGCCTAATAAAACGGTCATGGCTTTGGTCAAAAGTAGTGCACTGTGTAGGGCAGTGGTTCTCCAACCTCTCCTTGGGGACCCCCAGTTGTTTCACAATTTTGTCGTAGCCCTGAAATAGCTCACCTGATTGACCTAGTCAAGGGCTTGATGATTAGTTGAAGGTGTGCTAGCTCTGGAATAGATCAAATGCATGGAACGACTGGGGATTCCCGAGGTTTGAGAACCACTGATATAGGGGATAGGGGGCCATTTGTGATGCAGCCTCTGCCTTCACTACAAGAGCAAGACATTTGGAGGAATGGAGTCCTGGGGCCTAATATATAACCGTTGAGTACATTTTACACTAAATATCTGCACGCACAAAAATATAGATATTTATCAACTTAGAGCACGCCGTACATACGCATGTTTCCCATTATAAATCAGACCTATCATAAAACTGTGCGTGCGTGAACAAGCATTATAACTCCGCCTGAAAAACGGCCATCATTCACCTTTTATGGTGACAATAATGCCCTTATTTGCTGTATACTTTGGAAGTATTGGAATTAGGCCAAGGCAGTATCTAAAGGAAATAGAAATGGCGAACTTGATCAAATATCTTTGGAGGTGTTGGCAGTGTTTTCTTTTGCTGTATCTGACTGTTTCTGAAAGACAAAAACAATTGCAAATTGTTGTGGACCTGTAAACAGATCGTTTGAAATCAGTAATAGATGCCTATTTCTAATTATTTTAGAATGCAAAGATAAAATATATAGATTTTCACTCTTCTCGCTAACGGCAAATGATTGCATCTTATTATATTTAGCTACCTGTGTTTTGTTATGAAGTTCACGTGGTCGCAACAGTAATTATAATGTCCTGTAGCAATCTTATAAGGAAGAGATTGTTGTTCACAGTTCCCACCCCTCTTCTCTGTTGTCCGGTCTCTATGACCCTGTGGTGGGGAAGGGTCTCGTTCACTACTTCCCACCAATCCAAAAGCATTGGATTGGTGGAGGCATAGGACAGTGGGAGCACCATATTTCTAAACCCCAGTCATTTCCTTTTATATCAGTGAAGGGAAGTGAACAATCGCAGACTTTGGGAGGATGGAGATATAATTGCAACATAGCAGAGATGTTCAACATCCCTTCTTTTGGGGTTTGATCAGTTCTTACACACATCATAAACCTTGAGACCAAACAACCAAGTCCGTTGAACCTTCATATCTTTCCAGCGTGGCCTGGCTGGCTGGCGGACCCCTTTACTGAATAGCACATCTGGTAATTTGCTGTAGGCAAATCCAACACAGTTGATTAACATAATATTTGTGTAATTTGTAACAGCCTCATAAAGATTTGGTAAAGAGTGTGTGTACGTGTATCTCTGACTGTGTGTATGTGTCTCTGACTGTGTGTCAACATCTACCCCCTACAGGGCTGCCTGTCCACCCAGGTGCAGGAGATGTTGTCCAGGGTGCCCTTGGCGGAGAAGTTCTCTAAGTACTGGATCTGCCAGGCTCGCCTGATGGAGCGCCAGGGCAATCTGGAGGTGCTGCCCCTGTTTGAGGAGGCAGTACGCGTGGTGCTAGAGGTATAACATACTCCCTTCTCTCATCCCTACCTATGACTCTCTTCCTCCCTCTCTCTCTTTCTACCGCCCTCCATACCACTTTTTTTTTAACCTTTTGAGGTCCTGCCCCTGTTTGAAGAGGCAGTACGGGTTGGGTGGTGTTAGAGGTATAGCATACACCCTTTACCTAATCCCTATCGCCCTCTTCCCCCTTGCTATGTAAAGCACTTTGGGTGACTAGTGATAAGAATACCAATTTTTACAGCCCCCTAACCAATTGTGCTATTATGTGTGTTTTTTCGCATTATTTTATTCTGTACATAATGTTTCTGCCACCTTCTCTTATGACCAAAAAGAGCTTCTGGATATCAGGACAGCGATTACTCACCTCGTATTGGATGAATATTCTTTCTTCAACGAGTCGGACGTGAAGGATATTCTATAGACACCCGACAAGGCCCAAATCCCCGTCATTCGCATGAGAAAGAGACGGAGATATTGTGGACGTAGGTCGGGGTGCCTTGTAAGGATCCGACGGCGAGCGAGTAATCTGCCTCTTCCATCAATCCTATTAGCCTACGTACAATCATTGGAAAACAAAATGGACGACCTAAGATCAACGATATCCTACCAACAGGACATTAAAAACTGTAATAAAAACATGTTTCACCGAGTCGTGGCTGAACGGCGACATGGATAACATACAGCTGGCGGGATATACGCTACATCGGCAGGATAGAACGGCTGACTCCGGTAAGACAAGGGGTGGCGGTCTGTGTATATATTATTATTATTATTAAACAGCTGGTGCACAAAATGTAATTCTCAAGGTTTTGCTCGCCTGAGGTAGAGTATCTCATGATAAGCTGTAGACCACACTATTTACCAAGAGAGGTTTCTTCTATATATTTCGTAGCTGTCTATTTACCACCACAAACCGATACTGTCACTAAGATTGCACTCAATGAGCTGTATAAGGCCATAAGCAAACAGGAAAACGCTCATCCAGAGGCAGCGCTCCTAGTGGCCGCGGACTTTAATGCAGGGAAACTTACATCCGTTCTACCTCATTTCTACCAGCATGTTAAATGTGCAGCCAGAGGGAAAATAAACTCTAGACCACCTTTACTCCACACACAGAGACGCATACAAAGCTCTCCCTCGCCCTCCATTTGGCAAATCTGACCATAATTCTATCCTCCTGATTCCTGCTTATAAGCTAAAACTAAAGCAGGAAGCACCAGTGACTCGGTTAATAAGGAAGTGGTCAGATGATGCAGATGCTGAACTACAGGACTGTTTTGCTAGCACAGACTGGAATATGTTACAGGATTCTTCCAATGGCATAGAGGAGTACACTACATCAGTCGCTGGCTTCATCAATAAGTGCATCGATGACGTCGTTCCCACAGTGACCATACGTACATACCCCAACCAGAAGCCATGGATTACAGGCAACATTGAGCTAAAGGGTAGAGCTGCCACTTTCAAGGAGCAGGACTTTAACCCGGACGTTTATAACATCCCGCCATGCCCGCCGACGAACCATCAAACAGGCAAAGAGTCAATACAGGACTAAGATTGAGTCGTACTGCATCGGCTCCGACGCTCGGCAGATGTAGCAGGGCTTGCAAACTATTACAGACTACAAAGGGAAGCACAGCCGCGAGCTGCCCAGTGACACGAGCCTACCAGACGAGCTAAATCACTTCTATGCTCGCTTCGAGGCAAGCAACACTGAAGCATGCATGAGAGCATCAGCTGTTCCGGATGACTATGTGATCATGCTCTCCGTAGCTGATGTGAGTAAGACTTTTAAGCAGGTCAACATTCACAAGGCCGCAGGGCCAGACGGATTACCAGGACATGTACTCCGAGCATGCGCTGACCAACTGGCAAGTGTCAACATGTCCCTGACTGAGTCTGTAATACCAACATGTTTCAAGCAGACCACCATAGTCCTTGTGCCCAAGAACACTAAGATAACCTGCCTAAATGACTACTGACCCATAGCACTCATGTCTGTAGCCATGAAGTGCTTTGAAAGGCTGGTCATGGCTCACATCAACACCATTATCCCAGAAACCCTAGACCCACTCCAATATGCATACCGCCCCAACAGATCCACAGATGATGCAATCTTTATTGCACTCCACACTGCCCTTTCCCACCTGGACAAGAGGAACACCTACGTGAGAATGCTATTCATTGACTACAGCTCAGCGTTCAACACCATATTGCCCTCAAAGCTCATCACTAAGCTAAGGACCCTGAGACTAAACACCTCCCTCTGCAACTGGATCCTGGACTTCCTGACGGGCTGCAACCATGTGGTAAGGGTAGGTAACAACACATCTGCCACGCTGATCCTCAACACTGGGGCCCCTGAGGGGTGCGTGCTCAGTCCCCTTCTGTACTCCCTGTTCACCCATGACTGCATGGCCAGGCACGACTCCAACACCAACGATGAGACAGCCTATAGGCAGGAGGTCAGAGACCTGGCCGTGTGGTGCCAGGATAACAACCTCTCCCTCAACTTGATCAAGACAAAGGAGATGATTGTGGACTACAGGGAAAAAAAAGAGGACTGAGCACGCCCCCATTCTCATCGACAGGGCTGTAGTGGAACAGGTTGAGAGCTTCAAGTTCCTTGATGTCCACATCACCAACAAACTATCATGGTCCAAACACACCAAGACAGTCGTGAAGAGGGCACGACAAAGCCTATTCCCCCTCAGGAGACTGAAAAGATTTGGCATGGGTCCTCAGATCCTCAAAATGTTCTACAGCTGCACCATCGAGAGCATCCTGACTGGTTGCATCACTGCCTGGGAGACTAGTCAGGATCGAGGGAAAGATGAACGGAGCAAAGCACCGAGAGATCCTTGATGAAATCCTGCTCCAGAGCGCTCAGGACCTCAGACTGGGGCTTTGGTTCAACTTCCAACAGGACAACAACCCTAAGCACACAGCCAAGACAACGCAGGAGTGGCTTCGGGACAAGTCTCTGAATGTCCTTGAGTGGCCCAGCCAGAGCCCGGACTTGAACCCGATCAAGCATCTCTGGAGAGACCTGAAAATAGCTGTGCAGCGACGCTCCCCATCCAACCTGACAGAGCTTGAGAAGAATGAGAGAAACTCCACAAATATAGGTGTGCCAAGCTTGTAGCGTCATATCCAAGAAGACTCAAGGCTGTAATCGCTGCCAAAGGTGCTTCAACAAAGTACTGAGTAAAGGGTCTGAATACTTATGTAAATGTGTTATTTCATATATTTTTTGCTAACATTTCTACAAATCTGTTTTGCTTTGTCATTATGGGGTAGTGTGTGTAGATTGATGAGGGGAAAAAACAATTTAATCCATTTTAGAATAAGGCTGTAACGTAACACAATGTGGAAAAAGTCAAGGGGTCTGAATACTTTCCAAGAATTCATTCATTATTATTTCCTCTATCCCTCCTTACGACTCTCCCTCTCTGGCTTTCTCTTTGCCTTTCTCCCCTGTTTGAGGAGGCAGTACAAGTGATACCACAGTTGAAACATTCTCTCCTTCCCATACTCCCCACTCCCTCTCTTCTATATCGCTATTAAACTACATGGCTGGGTGTCTAGGTATGTCAATCATCAATCTCTTTCTGGCATTAGTCTGTTTCTGAAGATTTCTTTCAACATTATCAAATCAAAAGAAAAATTATTGCCTTCCTTGGTATCTTTCTTATCTATTTCCTCTCCCCATTTTCTCCTTCAGCCAGTGGATGAGCTGCGGACTGTTGTGTTTGAGATGTTAAAAAAGAAGGAAGAGACACAAGGTAATGATTAAGGCCGCAACATCCCTATTAACAATGACTATCTGAATCTTTCCTCGCGTCCTCTCGCCTCAGTCTCAAAACGTGTTGGAGAAGGTCTGAGGGTAGGGACAGTGGATCTTCTCCTCCAATACGTTTGAGAAGGATGCGAGGAATTATTATTTGAGATAGAGGTTCGAACCAGTGTTCTGTCTGAGCTCTGAGGTTGATTCCCCATCTGAACTGTATACCCCTAAAAGGTTCAGCTCACTGGTGTGCCATTTTACACTTGTTTTAGATACATTAAGCATCAATACGTCAAGGGAAATATAGTATTCTTTCTAACAAAGATATCTACATATATTTCGGGATGTTGTGTATCCCTGGAAATAATCAGAATTAATGTAAACATAACAGTTTTGAAAACAAAGCTTGTCCCAAAAAAGTGGTCTCTTAGCACAACTTACCCCGTTTATGGGGTAAATTGAGCATAGGGACAGGGTAAGCAGAGGGACACATTTAAAACACGTTTAACATAGGCTCAGGCCCTGGTGTAACATCATATCCCAGTGATAATGCCTTGCATTAAGCCTGGGAAGAAAACACTTCAATTGTGGCCTAGAGGGGGCAAACCCAAATGAGGAAGGCATTTTTCCTCATTTGTACTTCACGAATGCAAGGTGTCTTCAAACTACTATGCATATTATGCATAAAACTGAACAAATGTAATAATTTGTATGGGGTATATTGATTAGCCATTGGCTAAACTTACCCCTGGCTAAATGGCACCATTTACCCCAAAGCAACCATTTTTACTATATTAGCCCACACAGCTAAAGGATGCACTTTCATGCTCGGTTTAGGACCTCACATTGTTGCTTATAGAGACCCCAACGGATGTATAAAACAATCTTAAAACGATCTACTTTGGTTTAGAAACCTATAACACAATAGATTTATTTGACTTTGTGAAAATGTGTTTTTTTGGGCCTAACTTGAGTGTGTTGAATTTGGTTAACAAAAAATGTAATTGTATTTTTTGCTACGTGTGGCTTATTTGATCGACTAGACGCTTCGTAATGCTTAGGTTTTTACGAGTGTACCCATACACTGATTGTACAAAACATTAAGGACACCTTCCTAATATTGAGTTGCACCCCCCCCCCCTCCCCTCCTTTTGCCCTCAGAACAGACTCAATTTGTCAGGGCATGGACTCTACAAGGTGTTGAAAGCGTTCCACA